CAGGCTTATTCATGAGGACACTCTGGGGCAGCCTATCAATTTCTGTTTGCATAGGTCATTAGGGGGCGCTGTAAATGCTACATAGCTGTTTCTCAGCATCCGTGCATCCGATCAAGTTGAAACTTTGCAAGTATCATCTATTACACAGACTATAGATGAATCTTTAAGGACACTTTGATATATTGGAATTTATGGCCGCCATCAGCCAATAAGCTTTCAGCAGACATTTGACAGGCTTATCATTGGCCAATCATCATGATACTTAGAGACAACTGTCTCTATCTCCTCACCTTCTAACAACCTGTGAAGTTTCAAAATATTTGGCCCCCGGGGGGCTCAATTAATGAAAATCAAGTATATCTTGTACAGATTTTCATTTTTGGTCAAACAACTTAGATGCCCTCATGCAGTGCAGTGTTACAAACCATTTTGTCAACATAAGTTTATTAAAAATTGCAGTTTTTTTTTCAATCTTTAACTGTTTGAACAAAGCACTTTTCGAACTAGTCCGTGAAATTTGAAGCTAACTACTCAAAACTGGTCAGGAAATACTCTGTAGCCTCTCTAGGTAAATAATTATTCAGCACATTTTCAATTTTTTGCTCACTGTGGTCTCCCTCCAGCACTGAATCATTGCAGCTATGGCATTGCTAGCATAAATTGCTATAACTCATCAGTCATTGGTCCAATCATCTCAAAGTTTGAAAAATTTGTATACATTGAGACTCTAATATGGTTTGCAAAATTTGATTCAGATCGGCCCATAGGGGGCGATGTAGCACTCAAAAACACCTAAAATCTTTAAAAATGTTATTACAATGATACTACAAAGTCTACAGATAAATAAGAGGTGTCTTTTGATTCAGTTCACTCATCTGAATAACTTTTTAACTTTTACATGTTATGTCATAAATTGGACTCCTTCTCTGGTATTTTGAATTATTCATTTAAAGACTACAGCTTATTATACCAAGGTCAAAAGGTCAATCTGAACAAAACTCGGTGAACATCTTTGATGACGGTTCCTGATCAATTGTCATAATATGTTGAGACCTTTGGACCAATTCTGACCCACTATCATTCAGCTCCTCTATGTCAAATTGGCCCCTTATGACTGCATTGGGTCTCATTATGTCATGATTATCAAAGGCTTAAACATGGAGAAACAAAACACTCTGCAAACACAACTAAGACAGGAATTTTACCATTACTCATGTATTTTTGACATGTACGTTGATAATCTTTTGCATGTTCTACAAACCTTTGTAGATCAATAAAGTGAAATGTAAATATATATTAGATTTAAAGCCCCCTGCTCATTGTTCATGACAAATGAAGGCCTGTTGATGAACTCAGACTTCTTTTCAGCCTCTCTGCCTAGAAGGCCCAAACTGCATTAGGCCTTATTAGACCTAGTTGGCATGAGTGCATGAGAGCTTCTTGTGCTTATGCATACTTGAACCCGCTCATTGCCGCTTGTGGCTATATTTATCATTTTAATTGCTAAAATTGTTAACATTGATCTAGCAGAAAAACTGAAACTGAGATTTGAGAGTGCAGTTGTAAGAAAATATTAAGAAACTGATATGTTTATATGGATTCTTATTCTGTACTCCATCAGCAAGAAATGGAAAGGAAAAAAAAAGTAAAGAAAAGAAAAGTTCTAATAAAGGCATCACTGCCTCTGTAGACAAAATTAGTAGTAAAGTTGCAATAAATTTGAATTCTGTTGAACAGCACCGATATATAGCTGGAGCGCATTAATCTATGAACCTAAAAAACAATAATCTGTTTAGCCTCTCTAGTCATGTCTCAGTGTGACATCTGGAGTATTATGGCAAGGTCAGTGTCAGAGAAACAGAGAAACAGCACGAAGCTCTGTGCAAGCAATCAGTTTACCAGAGAAGAGCTAGAGCAGAGATCACAGGGAGGGGGAGCTGTACTTAATTAGCCACTGGCATGTTCTCTTTAATAATGCAGCATAAAACATCAGCTAATTGCCACACACACGCTCACACACCTCACAGTGGGGTTCACACATCGACACACACGCATACACAGACAAACACACAGTGGGGTTCACTGCCAACAAAGCCCAAAACTCCTCCCAGTACTGCTGAAAATAATAGTATTATAAGTAGTCCACATAGGACAGTCCCACAGAGCTAACTTCATAACAACCAACACCTCACTGTGTGGAGGTAATTTATTAAAAGACAGGCAAATGCACACTCACACATCTGTTTTTTATACAAACACAGCATTTGGTGGAGTTGTAAATACGCCCCATGTATTATATATGGATCACTCTACCAAACTGATTCAAAGCCAGAGTTAAAAACACATTTTGAACGTTTAGCTAACTTGATCATTTTGCTTTGAATGACCATATGCTTTAATGTATATTTTATCAAAATAAATGATTAATAATTGCATTTTCACTACCGAAACAATCATAACCCTAGTGAAACTTCATTAGATCTTTTGTCAGCAACTGTTTTGGTAGTGACAATTTCAGCTAATTTTGAGCTAATTAAAACACAAAAAGGTTACATAACTGCCAAAAATATGTTTCCGGAGTGACAATTCTCAAGGTTCCACACAGATTTTCAGAGTTTGAGACACATTAACTTCACAATAATGGGATCTAACTGTTTACCATGTGGCACTGAGGGATAGGGGTGCTGTTGTTAAATTAAACCTCTGCCTATGGGCTAAAACTCTTTGTGTTTCAGTAATACATGAAAACATGCAACACTATTTTTTGAATAAAGTCTTTTTATTTAAAAATGAAACTCATGATAAATCTAAATCTGTTGTTTAAAAGAAATGTAAAATATATATCTTTTATGTATTAATTTCACACATTGAAATTTAAGGGGTTAGGGTTTGAAAAAGCCACTTCCCAATAGAAAGTACCCAATGAATGATGATTTTTGCATTTTCTGCTTCTCACAAACCAAGTAATCACAAACACATTCAATGATGTTGAAGTCTGGACTCTAGGGTGACCAGTCCATTGCTCTGAGAACACTAAAAGCCCGTTTTTTCGATTTTATTTGATTTCATTTTCTCAGTAATGGCTTCTTGGCAGCTACACATCTTTCCAGACCCATAGTGTTGAATTGTCTTCTCACAGTGGAAGGATGGGCAGATACACCTGTGGATTTTGTCAGATCTGAAGCAATAGTGGAGCCCCATTCCAGCTATATCTTTTAATCTAATTTTTAAACTTTAGTTTTGGAAACTTCAACTCTTTGGAAAAAGTTTTTTTTCACCCATTGTTTGACTTTTAATTAGGTCAGTAGACTATTTTTTATCTAAATGCTTCAGGGATATTTTTTTTTTAGCTAAAGACAGTCATATGCAAACATTTGGGCACCCTTGATCAATTAACTTTGTTTTCTGATTTTGTAAATGAAAATAAGTACATACCTGCTACACAGACCACACTTCTACACATTTTAATGCACGCTTACACATTTAATATGTTATGTTTTACTTTTTCCCAATGTGTTAGGAAATTCAGCAAATAAACAGAAATTGTGCTCCAACATTTGCAGAAAAATGCTATATTTAAATTTGTTTACTGTAGAGGATGTGTCATCTTATTTTCCCTAACCTTAACCTCAATAACTGAAAAAATAAAATAAATTAAATATTATTAAATTAAATATTATTTAAAATAAAATATTTTGCTTTAACACTTTACAAAGTCAGAACCATTATGTTGGTCCTGTTTTTCTCTGCTTTTTTCATAATGTCAGGACAAAATGTACTAAAATAAACACACACACACACACACACACACACACACAGAGAGACATACACAGCAATACAGTGACTCAATTGGAAAATTCCTGTCTGTTGTGGATGCTTGTCATAAAGCAACCATCAGACTTTCAGTGTGTGTCTGTGCAGGGAATTCACAGAGGGATGCGCTGTCATGAAAGGTCTTCGCCTCGTCACATTGAAGCTGTCCGCTAGTTGGCCCCCCATGAGTGGCACTGGGGCTGATGCAGGGTCTCAGGGGGCTGGCAGCTGTGTGCTGGCAGCTGGCCTCACACTCAGGGGAAGCGTGCGCTCTCACATCCTCAGAACTGCATGACTGCGCACTCAGACAACACACACCAGACACATCTCCTGGGCTGAGTGCTTTTGTTTGGGCTTCACTTACTGAGTAGTAAGACTGATAAGTTAATAGTGTTTATAATTAGGTTAGATTTATAGCACAACACAGTCCTATCTAGCATTATACGTATACTCTAAAGGAAATAAGTATGTAGCAGTATACATAGTAATACTTATTACCTTTTAGGCTTCTGTGTAACAGTATAATAATCTCACTCACAGACAGACAGCCATAACTGTATAAATGATGCATTTAATGAATATATGATAACTGGAAAAGGATTATGTCACACTATAATAAAGACATACATTTAAAGAGGTACACTTCTATTACATATACATGCTCTTTAGATTTGTAACAGAGAAGCACAGCATGTAACTGTCTTTGTCCTCATTTTTCGAAAAACACAAAAAACATGCTGCGTACTATAAAGAAACAGTCAAAACCATTCAATGAAGTACCAAGCTTGTAACTTCATCTTTAACATTTATTAAGCAGAAGGTTGTTTTTTTAATGTGTACAGTGCTGTCCTTTCAATGATCTGTGCGCTTCACCCTGGATAGAGATATTCTGCCTGTCATCACTGTATATGTTCCTAGTGTTTTCATTCTGCATTCATTTCATTGCCAAGCTCATGAATTTTTCATTACTTTTCTACACTATGAATAAAAGATGAAGAAGGAGCAGGACAGAGGGAGCTCTAGTAAGCTGCACCATGAGTAACCTAATGTGAAGAATCTGCGTAAGCCAAGTTTTTCCAACAACATTATCATAGTCCTCACATCAGTGCTGTACTGGAATTACCAAAACACAAATCGAGGATGTTACTGCTCAACAAAATTTTAGAGGAAGTCTGCCTACCTTCATTTCAGAAGGAAGCAAACCTTTGGGTGTGAAAATAACGTGTGGTAGTGGTGATCTAGCCACAGTGAGTGTAAGAGCATAAGAACATTGTAAAATTTATAAAAGGAGGACTTAATATTCAAAGCGTAAAAATACAGAAATACACAGTGTTGTTTTTTCTCGTATATATATATATATATGTCCTCTGAATTATAGCACTGTTGTTTTGTACCAGTGAGTTTATTAAGTAGTATAATAGTTCTTAAACAGCTTGCTCTGCATTCCCTGATTTTCGTTTCTGATGGCATTCCTCAGACTCTGCCAGAACCACTTCTCTGCTGAAGGATTCCTGGGCCATTCCAGCACACTATTCCCACACAGGCACCGTCTCAAGTGCAAGATTCTTGAATGCTGGAGCACTGGTTCCAACAGGATTAACACCATAACATCCACACCTTCCTCCAGCAGCCTCTGTTGAATGAGATAAGTTGCCACTTTAAAAATCCCACTGCAGACGAAGCCTTCCGTTAGCACAAAAATGGTCTTCCTGCTCCATCGAATGCTCTGATTGAGATTCTCCATGATGGAAGAACCAGGCATCCAGTCCCTCTCTTCCAGACATAGGGGACGTACAGTCTCCCCCCTGTCCTCCAGCTCCACTCGCAGGTGGTTCAGCACCCAGTCAGAAGCCAGATGGTCTTTGGTGTCATACATAACGAAAGCATCATAAATGCACTCTGTTGATTTGTGACCCTTTATTTTGGCTTTCCAAAAAGTAAGGATGTAGGACACATCCCAGTAGAAAAGGTGTATTGTGATCGCAGTAAACAGCATGATAAGAATAAAGGTAGAGGAGATAATGTAGAGTATTTGCCCAGTGCTGTCATTGATGCAGGCATTTTTAAGGTCAAGTCGGATCATTGGCTGGCCTTTCTTGGGAGCTGGCAAGTCACATAAGACCCCTGTTGCGAGGTTAGGGATCTCTACCTCACTGCTCTCTAACCATAGAACAAAGTCAAGAAGGTCACATGTACAATGTATAGGGTTACTCTCCAGGTACAGTGTACGTAGATCATTTCCATCATGTAATAGGAATGAAGTCTCACTGATTATTTCCAGTCTGTTGAAACTAAGATCCAAAGTCCAGAGGCTTTTGGCATGTTCAAGAAAGTTTATTCCTAGTTTAGAGATCATGTTATGGCGCAAGTCCAAGATTCTCAGTGAACTTGTATGAGCTGATAGTTTTTCAGTCACAACGTCCAACTTGTTCTTGCTTAAATCCAATATTTCCAACTGAGGCAAACAGCTGAGTTGTTCCCAACAGAAATTGCTAAGTTGGTTCCTGTTCAAATTCAGATATTTCAGGGTTGGTGGGAAATAGCTCAAAATGTCCCCTGGGATTTGTCTGAGTTTGTTGTATGATATGTCAAGATGTGTTAAGTTTCCTAGAAGTTTAAAAAGATTTTTGAAACCTTTGTCCTTTTTCCACATTATGTCTAGTCGATTCCCTTGAAACTGTAGCTCCTTAAGAGAACTGCTGTTCAGTGTCTTGTCACTCAGTGTATTTATCTCATTCCAACTGAGATTGAGAACTTTTAGGTTCTGGAGGTGTTCGAGAAATGCTAGTGTGTGACTCACTCCTGCTACCTCAAAGTAATGTTTGTTGTGACTTAGGTCCAAAACTTCCAATTCTTTCAATTCATTAAAGGCAGATTTTAAACGAAGGTAGATTCGGTTATGTGACAAGTCCAAGTATTTTAGCTTTGGAAACTGAATAAACTCAGTGCCATTGAAAAATGAGCTAATGTCATTGTAAGAAAGATTAAGACATGTAATACTCTCCACAGCTTGTAGATACTCTGGATTGATGTAGTACATGTTGTTTCTGCTGAGGTCTAGCACAGGTCCTGTTTCCAAGCACTCAGGTTTTAAAAAGGGTGGGTAGCGACGAAACTCTTCATCTCTGTGGATATAAGGACTTTGCACACTATGTTCTTCCTTATCCTCAGAATCCACATCGCTTGTGCATAACCTCTCATACTGGTTTTTTTTCATCCCAGTGAATGTGAGTCTGTTCTCAATCAAAGAAATGACAGATAAATTGTAAAAGTTTTCAAAAAGGGACAGATTGATCTGCTGGAGAAAGTTGACACCCAGATTTAGGACTGAGAGGTTTTTTAAACTAAAGAGAGGCTTCAGGTCACTTTCACAAAGAACTGAGAACACATAGCCCTCAAGATGTAGGCTTTTCAATGACTTCAGTTCTGAAAAACCTTTCGAGAGTTTCAGTCTTCTGGAAATTTTTTGCGGTGGGTTATTGTATGACAGGTCAATGATCTCGACGTAGGGTAAACTATAAAAGAACTGTCCACTTTCAATTTCACTAATAAGAAAGTTAAAAGAAAGATACAAGTACTTCAATCTTGTAAGATTTTTAAACCATGATGGATTGAGTGTTTGTAATGAATTTCCTGATAATCGTAACTCCTGAAGTTGGGATAGTCGACTAAAAGCTTCTGGATTGATCTGCAGGGCATGATTTTTTGTTTTACAGGGGCTGCATGGGAAAGGAGCATTGTCACAAATAGGGCAATTTCCAGATAAATCCAGAACTCTGAGTTTTGTTAAGTTTTCAAGGTCAGATGCTTCAATATTCTCAATCATGTTCTGTCGTAAATGGAGCTTTTGGAGAGATCCAGGTAAATCTGGTGGTAACTTTTGCAGCCTGTTTTGTGCTAAAAAAAGGTAGGTCAGCTGATGTAAGTCAGAAAATGTTCTGTTCTGAATAATTAAGGACCCTATACAACCAGTTTTATGATAGCAGTTCTTGCTTAATCTAATGTCTTTTATGTTTTTTATTCCTGCAAAGTCTGAAGGTCCAATGGTCTTGATGTGATTGCCACTTAGCCTTAGAGTTTGCAGTCCAGCTGGAACATGTCTTGGAACGGTGGAGAGGTGATTATCATCAAGTAACAATATTTTGAGTTTAGCTAAATCAGAAAAAAGGAGTTTGTCTGTATGAGGCTCATTCTGCAGCCGATTTGCTTTGAGATTTAACAGAGTTAGATTTTGCAGCTTTGAAAAAGAGTCACTTGAAACTCTCTTTATTTGATTTTTAGCTAAGTTGAGTTGAGTGGCATTCCAAATGCAGATTTTAGGAACAGTGCATAGTTTTCTGCTTGAGCAGTCTAAGGAAACAGAAGTGGTGGATAATGTAATATCACATGGTAGAGTCCTCCAAGACCAAATAAGACCATATGATGAGTAAACATAAGACATCAGAATTACAATCAACATCCTTTCCTGGTGTTTTAATGAATACGACCTATGAATGGGGGAAAAAAATCCAACATGAGATTTACCAACTGGAACTTTCTGTTGTAGATATGTCTTGATCTCATATGATACATATATCAACTTGGAATAAATTCATGAATACATGAGTCATAAATACAGAGGCTTCCAAACTGCCATAGTTAAACAATATTTAGTTCCCAAACAAATAGAGCAGAAAAGACATTAATAATGTTTTAATTCTCAGTTAAAGTGAAATCTTACCAGAGCAGTCCTTTCGATGTGTGAAAATGTAAGTATGACTTCTAGCCAATGTAAACGCTCCCTTTAACAGAAGTTGAAGTTCCTCTTTCAAGTTTCAAAATGTAATTTTTAGTTGCAAAAGTGTAATTGTTATCCTCTCTTTTTTTCTGATCACATCAACAAACAACCATACAAAGGGACTTAAAATGGCAATTTTCAAATAAAAAAACATGCTTTTCAGTTGGTATTATGTATTGTTTCTATGGTTTGCCTGAGACTCTCCAGGTGTATTCTACTTGTCTGTGTGCTTCAGTCTCTGAATGAATCTCTGAAAATAGGTCAGTTGCCCTCAAACAAAAAACAATAGGTAGTTATGGTCTGTTTAATGTCAGGCTGTGAATTTCCTCTGTTGTTCCCATTACAAATCAGTCATTGTAGTGCTACTAAGAACCAGGGGTGTCACCTAGCCTGGGCTCAACCCAAGCTTTATGCTGTACCTGAAAATGTTTATACAGTATTTTGTCAGTCCTGTTGGGCAGGTAGCAGACCTCGGAAAATGTTTATCAGGACACTCGTAAAACTACCCAGTTTGAAATTTAGTGTGATATTTTATATTTAGAATATTGTTTGTAGTTTATATTTAGACAAGAAGAGTTGTACTGAGCCCTATGATAGACTGGCGACCTGTCCTAGTAATTTCCTTCCTTCTGCACAATGAGCGCTGGGATAGACTCAAGCACCCCTCGCAACCCAGGGAGATAAGTGGCTTAGAAAATGTGTGTGTGTGTGTGTGTGTGTGTGTGTGTGTGTGTGTGTGTGTGTGTGTGTGTGATGCACTGACTCATTATTCAGCATTTTAAAGTATCAGTGAATATCAAAAATGAGAATCACGATCACTTTATTTTGGCAGGTAAGTTACACATGCAAGGATTTTGCCTTGGTGACTGCATGCATGTATGGCACGTACCATACTGAACAGACCAGACAAACAGACAGACTATTAACAAATGCAAAGAAAATAAGATATTTAACTAAGGGACAAGTAAAATAAAAATAGAAGAAATATAAATAAATGCAATAAAAATGTATAAATAACAATAGATAAATTGCTTCTCTGTTAGCAGGGAGAGAGAGGAAATGTGGAGATGTCATTGTTGAGAAAACATTTATAGTTGAGACACGTTTAAAGTTATGAGTGGTGTTTTCATTTTTCTTTTGTTCTTTTCATGATTTTGTTGACACAACCAACACAACCAACAGTGTTGAATTGCTGCAAGTTTTGTTGTTGTGTATATCCTCACATTAATTAAAAAAACAAAAACTGTACAAATTAAAGGTAATTCAAAAAGTCTGGGGAGGTACCGCAAAACCTCAGATTTTTACATGCTCAGACAATGCCCCTGCTGAGGACTATCCAAACACATCTTCACAAACACATAGGAGTAAATGTACAACATAATATTAGACATGTAAGTATATATATTATGTTGTGGGGACTAATATTTTACATTTCCCCAGCAAATACAATTATCTTCTAGAGAACTAATCAAGTTACTAACAATATCAGATTTCAGAGCTTTGTGAAAAACTAACCTTACAAAAAAGTAAAAAACTGTAAAAAAATATGGTACAGATGTTATTAGACACTGGTATTCATTAATGAACCCAAGATGAATGTTAATCTATTAGTGCAGTATTTCTTCAAGTTTAGTGTACATAGAGACACTCATGTGGGTGGGTGTGTGTAGGGAGGGGAGAGGTGGCCTATAACAGGGACTTTTTAGCTGTAGCTGCTAGCCCATTAGTATGCTGCAGAGAAATAGAGTGACTGGAAGTGGACACTCCAGCAATTAGATGCATAGCACTCTGTTTGAACCCACAGAGGTGCCAGTGCTCATATTCTCCTCTGCACCTGGGGGCAGCTTTCATGTATTGCTTTCCAACGGCTGCTACGTGTTCCACATACTGATTGGGCAGTTATTAATTTTAAACGTGTTGTATCCATGCAGCAAAGTCTACTCCTCCACTTAGAAAGAATGAGGCATGAAGAGGGCGTCTGGGTTAGCCATTAAGGCATGTTTTACTTTGTGGCTCAGCTCTCCATTGTCACTACCCTAATTTTCCCCACAATTTGCTATAATGTTTATGTGGTTGTGGCTTTAACACCAAGTTATCAGATATTATGACCCTTTCCATACAAAAAGGCAACACATTAAAAACAATACATTTGTTTAACCATATATTTTGTAATTTATCGAAAAAATCTAATAACAATACATTTAATTTTCCTATCGGGCCAAAATCTAAGACCAGGTCTTGTCAGTCCATGTAGTCCTATTCAGTGTGATGTAAAAGGCCAGGGTTGGCTTTAGTCTTTTGAGGGCTTTAAGCAGTTTTTTCCCAATTTATTTTGTATTTTGGCAGCATAAGCTTTTTCCTTCTATGACGACCCCTCCTAATGTTTAACACAATAGTCATTAATGTCAAACTTTCAAATGCACACACCCATAGATTAATCACAGTCTGAGTATCTAAACCTGTATTAACAGAAATTTTCTAACCGCTGTTGTCAAATTAGCTAACCACGTCTGTTTGTTAGGTTTTGTGAAGCTGAATCTTAGCCAGAGAGCAGGTTTCATTAGACAGACCCCAGATCTACTACCTCTTCTTGTCCAACTACAAGCCAAAACAAAGGGCATAATGTTTTGATAAATATAGGCCCTGTGTCTGAAGACTGTACTACATTGCTTTGTCTCATTTATCCCAATAGCACCAGCAAAGAGTTTTAGGAATCCAAACTGCAAGTTTAGAGGCTCGGAAATGTACCAGGAGATTGCCTGTTGGATGTGATGCTTGAAAGGAACATTCATGCACAGTCCTCATACTGAATAAAACCCAGGGGACTGGATGGTTTTACACAGATTTGAAATCCAAGCATCAAAACAATTCTGGCAACTCTTTAAAACATAGTGCACACCAATAAGGAGCACAAACATGTAAAGGGTATTCAGAGATTCAGCGTCCTGCAGCTGTTTGGTACTTGAGCGCCACATGATATTATCATAACAGCCAGGCTTTTGAACCTATAGCAGGTGAAGCCATTCTGTCAGTGGGCACTGTGTTGAGGCTGTGCATGGGGAACTTCAAGTATTAAAACAGGAAGCTGCTCTGTTCTGGTATTTTTTGTTAATTCCTAACATACTGTATGTGGACAGGAAAAGAGATGAATCAGCTTAGTTTCGCTTCAGTACTGTTCCTTTTTTAACTGGAACTATTTTTGTCTTGAGGCAAATTTTAGTGAAAAACAGGGAGGGATTTCCACTAAAACTAAAACATCATCATACCATCATTTTTTGTCCCATTTTGTACTGCATTCTGATTTAAGAGGCAAGAAGATTTTCATTTTTCTTGTTTTGAGCTAGACTATAAGTGCTATATATAGTAGCTCAACAAGTCATGCAAAGCTTTTAGACTGGACCCTTTTATCCGAGACACAAAACAATCACGAGTCAAGCAAAACCTGATGTAATCACAATTACAACATTTAAACTAGTTACATTAATAATTTATGTCAATTATATGGAAAAGTAATGAACAGATTCAGTAGCCAGAAAAATTACAAACAGAAAAAAATAAACAAGCACAGTTGTTTTATAAGTGCCTTTTCAAGATGTATTTTAAATATGTTCAGAATAAATTGCTTTTTATGTATTGTAACAGAACACATTCAGTGTGCAGCCATCACTACATTTTAAACACATATATATATAAATATATGTGTGTGTGTGTGTGTGTGTGTGTGTCTGTGTGTTTGTGTTCTTTATTATATATCTTTTTTGGCTTACCATATTATTTATTTAGTAATAAATTGTGCATGGGGCATGAACTTTAAAGTGAATATGAATATCAATGAATGAAGCGTAAAGAACTAGCGATAGTGCCAAGAGAGGGAAATAGATAATTTTATATCCTTGTTAAACTGCAAAGGGCTGAAGCCATAAGACAGTCTGCTTTTCTTCTCCTTTAAAAAGATGTCCTTCATAGATCAATTAGTCTGTCCTGATTCCCAGAGAAGCATTTATTTAATAAAGCCTAGGATTAAAATAGCTAATTATAAGCCTTTCGTTTGTAACTGGGAGTTGGCCCTTCTATCTTTTCCCTCAGTGTCAAAGACTGCAGCCCATATCTCAAGAGGTGTTGGCTGTACTCACAAAGCATATTCTATTCACTGTTTCATTTATTATCTAACACCCCCTCCCCTTCCCCCTGAACTGTCTAAATATGGCTGACTTCCCAAGCAAATACATATGGTGTATAATGCAACATGACTGAATGTCCCTTTGGAAGCAAGAGTTGTTTGCAGATACAATTCTACAAAGGAATCCTGTAAAATAAAAAAAGAAATTAAAAATTTCTAAAAAGTTCTAAATTTTGATTAGCTGAGCTACATTTGAAGCAAAATAAAATACTCAATGTATAAACATACGACCGCATCAGTTGAATTCTATATAAATGCACCAAGTTATTAAGCACTTGTGCTGTTTATGAAATTATTATTGTTATCCACACTTATATTTACAGCATTTAGCAGATGCACTTATCCAGAGCGACTTACAGAAAGTGCTTTGTCTACCTAGAGAAAGTATCTTTGCTAATTACAATTAGGTTAGAGCAAAAGCCAGTCCTGAGCTCAGATAACAAAAGCCCATATTGATACCTAGAGAAAAAGGAGCAGAATTAAATACAGCACAGTGCAATACATATCAATAAGTAAGTGCAGTACAATACATTACAATAAATACTTAACTCAGTGCTGACTTAAGTGCTGTAAAAAGAGATGTGTCTTCAGTCTGCATCTAAAGAGAGACTCTGCTGTTCGGACAGCCAGTGGGAGCTCGTTCCACCACCTGAGTGCCAGGACAGAGAAAAGTCTTGATGCTTGTCTTCCACGCATCTTGAAGGATAGCGAGTCAAGCCAAGCTGTACCTGAAGCTCGAAGGGCTCGAGGTACAGTTCAAGTTTTGACCATTGCCATTAGGTAGGGAGGGGCTTTGTAGGCAAGAATTAGGGTTTTAAATCTGATGCGTGCAGCTACATGAAGCCAGTGAAGGGAGTGCAGCAGTGGAGTGACATGACTGAACTTAGGAAGATTGAAGACAAGCTGTGCTGCTGCATTCCGGATGAGTTGCAGAGTCTTGATGGCCTGCATAGGAAGACCAGCCAAGAGCGAGTTGCAGTAGTCAACCCTTAAGATGACAAGAGCTGAACAAGCACCTGGGTGCTATGAGCTGAGAACGATAACTGGCCATCCAGAATCACACTAAGACTTCTTGAATCTTCAGACGGAACAATCAGAGAGTTCTTGAATGAGATGGCAAGCTCATGAAGAAGACCATGATGAAGAAGTTATTCAGAGGCATTGCCTGACTACTAGAGTTAGGTCAATTGTGAATATCATAAATGTCAAAACTCGGTCAAACACAAGAAAAAAACTACCTCTATGATAATGCTAACTTCAATGCTAATGCTAACATCAGACCTATGGGATAGTAGCAGTTTGGGATGGTAGTTGTTTGTTAGCGCTAAGCTAATGGCTTTTTCCATTAATGTGTTTTGGCCATTCTAGATTAAACACACATCAGAAGCTTTCAAAAGACATTCCAAGTTTTACTAAAAGCTTGTGACAGTCATATCAGCATATATTTTACCTTGTAGCAGTTTTACAGTGACTATTTCAGTAGAGAGCCCTGGTATAGAGCCAACGCTCTTTTTCATTACAAACTGCCCACACTGGTATTCACACTCAGTGACTGTGGGGGTTCTCCTTTGTTGTTGTAATGTTTAATGCTACCGTTTAAGTACATAAAGTATTGCATTTTTATTTAGGAGTGCATCAATAGGGTAAAAATGTATCTGGTATGCTTCTGGGCCATCATTCCATGTAGTTTGCAGGCCACAAGTATATGCTGGACACATCCCAGGTTCAGGCCATATCAGCTGGGCTATCTGAGCCCCTTTGATCATGGATGAAGATCACTGTAATGCATGATTTTTTATGGCTTATCGCTTAATAATGAAGCTTCAGAAAACATCATAATTCAAACATTTAGAATTTAACATTTTGTTCTATATAACTTCTTGAATGCAGTATGTTGATTCATGTTTAGTAACTGTTTTGTGTCATTGATATTGGTTTAACTCTGATTTTATAATTAATAGTCTTAAGAACAGTTGGATTGAATAATTGTGCAAGAATGGTGATAGTTTTGTTGTAACAATATTGATAGCATGAGTTTCCCCTTCAAATAGGAAAACATTTGGATATCTCATCCTCAGCAAGGTAATACTCCCAACTGTCAGTGACCCTTACACATATTCCTGATTTTGCTGTTCTAAATTTTCATGATATATCAAAGCTTCATGATATTATTCAGAAGCATAGAGTGGCCCCAAAAATATTTGGACTCTTTAACTATTGATAAACTTTAATTAAATTCTTCATAAAATGTTTAGCACAATCATATTTGATTCACAGAAAACACTTTTAGCACAACCTCAGACTGATGTTAGACTTTCTGTGCGGAGAAAGCCTGAAGAAAAATTCTAGCCAGACCACACTCATGATACTATAAAGTACAGAGCTGGAAACATCAAGGTCTGGGGCTGTTTTTTTTTTACAATGGTGTTGGTCAGTTTCTATTCACTAATGGGATCCTGAGTTAATGACGTGTACAAAAACATTTTGGATGTCAACCTGCAGAAGTCACTGAAGAAAGAAACTGCTCAATCAATATCAATCTAAAACACACCAACTGACTTTTTGAAAAAATAAAAAATCCTCATCCAAAAAGAAAATTACAGTCTTGGATTACATTTTTAGGCAGGTCACGAATGTCCAAATACTCTTGTGGGTCTCTGTATATAATACATATGCTTGTATGAACCGTATTTGTTAGAAAATGATATACAGACATTCTGTTCACATAGAAACAGATGAAGATAGAGGCATAGGTAATAAATAATTGAATATTTTTAAAACATTCAATTAATCCAGTGTCTCCTTCAAATACTTGCTTGACGGGTTAACAAACTTAATTTTCTAGTCCCAGATTATAGGTATAAATATCTGAACAGGAAGCTCAAAGGTTAAAACACAGACAGTTAACAGAAATTCTACTGTATAAACTAACAAAGTACAAAGTAACTTGTACATGAATGGACATGAAACATTTACTTTTTCATTATTGCAAGATTAGGAACACTTATTTGAACTCTAGTTAAGCACGATGCACATAAGACATTGATGAAAGAGCATGTGGCTGAAACTAACAACACAGAGAATTGCTTTTGGTCCCTTTTGTCAATTGCCTTGGTTATAGCATTTACTGTCACTCTCTTCCTCGTTATGAATATTTTTTAGCCCCCATAAATGTTTGGAACATATTTGGTGCTTGACTTCTCTTTCTGTGTTTTATACTACTATAGAAATTGTATTTATTACTGATATTCCTACTAGATGGCTGTGATGGTTCTAAATGTGACAAAAAAATTAAATAATTAATAAAATCATAACAATAAAAAAAATGATATTGCATCACATTTGAAACTCATTTACCATTGGTCTATACAAAAATTACATTTTATTGACTAGAAATGTATTAATTAGAGCTGTCTTCATTTAACAACTGTTAAATAAATAAGGGTTACAAACAAAGCATGTTGCTTTACCAACATTACAGTCATAGTAAAGCAACATCTGCTACTTTTATAAGTGAAAACAGGGCCTCCTTTACTGGCCATGGATGATTTATTGTGTATAAATAGTATAAGCTTCGTTCTTTGGTAGAACTAGAATTTTCATGTGGTATGCTCACATCATTTTAAAGTAAACATTGAGTCACTGACAATTAAAGAGATAATTTTCCAAAGCAAAATCCATTTTTTCTACAATCAACAAACATGTACACAACTCACTTTGCAATGGACAAACAGGACCATGGCACGCTTAGCCCTGATTATGTACCAGTACATACAATCTTAAAAATAAAGGTGCCAAATGGACCCAAATGTCTATGAGATGTGCAAAGTCAACAAACCTCAATAAAATATAAAGGTTTTATACCAATTGTACCAGTTTTTTCTAGAACCATATGTCCAAGCCAAGATCCATTAAGAACCTTTATATATTAAGAATGTAGTTAGGATGGATTGTTTTACTTTCGCTTGTTTGGGCTTTGTCCAGGTTCCATCTTCAGCTCTTTGTACTGAACCTGTAAAAAACAGATCACAAATAGAGTTAGGCTACAGAACCTTTGGCAGTAGCAGTGCTCTAAGCAGTGCTGCACTGTTATTTCAATTCTATGAAACTGAGTAGACAGTCACCAACCACTTGTATATCCGAGGGCACTCTGGAGAGGAAGTCCAACAGCTCATTGTTGACAATAAAGTACGGGTTACGAAGTTTCTTGGTGAATTTATTGATACCTGCATGAGATGTGTTGGCATGGTTACAGTCACCACTGATCCTTCAGACACAAAGAACTCTAGAAAGACTAGAGCCAAGAGTACATAGCACAATACGTTTAAGCACAGGTATGTTTAACTCCCACATGTTGCTTTAGAGTTTTCACAAGTGCATAGCCACTATGAAAGTTATTGAAAGATCAGTATGAAAATATATGATTCATTTTACTAATGCTAACCAAACACACTTAATGTAGGCAAAAAAGGCTTACCCCAGACCAACACAATGTATCTCAGAGGAATCAAGTACACTAACAAAGAGGCAACACACAGTGCTGCTATGGCTAACCAGCTAAGAAAAGGCACAGTCCAGTTGAAAGTGCTGTGGAGATAAAAGAGAGGGAGAGAGAGAATATTATTATACAATCTACGCAGCAAAGCACTGCTCTATGCTGTACTGGAATGACTGAAGTAAGCCTACTCTGTTAGATCTCCTTTTATGTACAGAACAAATTCTAGTGAAGATTTAAATGACTCACTTCTTTATTCTCTCTCCATAGGAAGCCACCTCATCAAGTGCTGTCTGTACACTGATGCATATGTCCTGAATGGCATATAGCTTGTCCATGAAGCCCTTTTTATCAGAGTCCTGTTCATTCAAAACAATCATTTAGAACATTGAAATTTTGATTTGGAAATGAAATTAGAGCTGAATTAAATACAAAATATATATTGTAATGATCCTACAACCAATTTATTAGACTGGGTGTCTATTTATAACAGCAATTTAATTCAATTAGTTTCGTGTAAAAGCCAGGGTGAGATAAGTCGATAATAGCACAAAAACTGGTAAGGGTAAAAAGAAGCATAAACATGTGATGCTATGAGAAACATAAGCAACAGAGGTGTGTTTCTTTTTTTTCTGGTGTCTCTTCAGAGAAGAGGTTAATCTCAGTGTTATTTAACACAATTGCACCCAGCCTAAAATTGCAGCAGCAGCTTCATTTATATGGAAAAGAGGGCCTCTCACTCAACATAGTATTCTTTAGCATCACACAGGAAAAGCAGAATTTGAAAAACAGAACCTAAAATACGGGACTTAGCGGTGTATACAAAATCATTCAGCAGCATGGTTCAGAACTGTAAATCATAAACAACTGTTCACTGATCTCTCTTCTCTGGCTATGTTTGTTTTAATGTATATGCAATGTCTCTCAAAATAAATGATTGATTATAACAACTACAGGTGTAGCCAAGGCACAACTGATAATTTTTTCAAGAACTGAAATAAAAATGTAGTCTTTCAAGGCCTTGCTCCTTTCCCAGCGTTAATGTAAGATTCATTTCTCATGGCAGAAGAAGCCTTAAAATATTACAGTTTGTGTCTGTGGTCCAACCCAGGCAGTGTGTATGACATATTGTCTAGTCTGACCCTTAGGCTTCACCTGCAAAGATACAGATGGGAAAATGGAGGGAACAGAGCAAGGTTATGTTATTCTTTCCCCCCACAACTTTTGGAGCTGCTTTCAACAACCAAATCGTCACCCATATATTAGCTGAGACAATTTATGTAGGCTAAAAGAGCGATATCTACCCTTGGCCTGCTTTCCTGACTACCCAGCGGTCTACTAAGTGCAAACATATGTTGAGTCTTAAGCAGTGCCGATGAGAGCTCCCAATGAATGGAAAACAGGTGCTTTCGTCATTTGTGCCAAAACACTGCATTTAGCCCCCAGGGCCAAAGGTTGGCCAACTAATGGCTGCCTTGTGGCACACAAAGGGTTAGTGGGGGGGGGGTGCAACAGCTGGAGTTAAACATCTAGGATGCGCTGAACATAGCACAAGCTTCAGGTGCAAATAAAATAAAAAACTGACAGATATATTAAAAGATGTTTCACACAGTCCTACAGTCCTTACAGATCTTTCCTGGAGCTGACCTCTCCAAGTTATTGAGAATAAAACCATTTTAAAACCAAGCCATTTTTTTACACTCAGGTACCTGATAAAAAAAGATCAGAATTGTCCAAGGTACATAAATGACAGTAACCTGGTCTGATCTTTGTTTGTAGAGACACATTTATTACATTTTATGATCTTTTTAAGATGATAAACAAGAAAATAACAAAAAGACATATTATTAGAAGAATCAGTAAATTGTGATAGACAATTAAGTTAGGATATTCTGGAGAATCACAATCTGTGTGGTCACCAGGAGTCAGAATTGACTTGACAGCACCATAATAATATACTTGTATATACCCGACTAAGGTGCATTTTAATTTTGTTTTATATATATCTATATATATATATATATATATATATATATATATATATATATTGTTTTTTATCAGCTTAGGGAAACATATTTTTTTTTCCTCGAATGTCCACACAGAGGTAATCCATGTGAAAAACTGCTTGGATGTCTGCCATTTCCTCAAGATATGTCTGTTCCATAGTCCATACTGATTTCATGAGTGAGTTAAGTTCAGTTAAAAGACCATAACATACACTATTTCCCAATGCTTCTTCACATATCATTGCAATATTACCTTTTCATCTTTTTCACATTCTTCATCTTCACTCTTAAGAAGGTCCTCCATTGCTTGCTGTTGGGTAAAATGGCACATGAATGAAAAATGTACTCATGCCATGTCATCTTTACAATTTAGTTTAGTTACAATTTTCATGTACACTTACCTATGACTGGCAACATTCATGTAGGCATGAAATTACTTTGACAAATTTAATTGGAAAAGAAGCGATAAGTAAATATACTAGGTAAATGGAATGATGGTTTAAGTGGAAGTATCTCTTCTCCCTTTCTAATTAACTGAAGTAATAGGAATACAATATTAAAATCTAGTTATGAGTATATTTTGAAAAAAAAAATGCATACTGTCAAACATAACACTGAAAAAAGGGACAAACAACTACGTATAGCTTTATAATCTTTTAAGTACTGATGATCAGATTTGATTACATTTTCAAAGCTCTTCAATTCATGTGCTGAGATATTTTGCTGTGTAATTAGCTGTTATCTGTGTTCAGTTATATTTAACAGAGAGGTCCTAAATCACTCACCACACTGCCCTCTTGGGTTTCTTTCCCAGAGGCCAGCAGGAAGAAGTTCCAACCCAGGAAGAGGAGCAGCGACAATGGAACCATATAGAGCTCAAATTTCCAAACCACCAACACAAATGCCTACACAACACAGAGAATTACACACGCAATTAAAATTTTATTTGAAACTATTTGCTACTTTCAGTTTTACAGAGTTTCCTACATCAATCACACATATTTGAGTTTAAATCTTTAGCATAGTATTAACTTTATGCTTCAATATCAGCAAACATATAGAGAATATATATAGAGAATATCTATAAACACCAGTCCACCCATTTCATATCTGTTGTGGCCAGGCAAAGTTATTGTTACAGAATTTATGGCAAGTATGTAATATGTACCTGGTGGATTGAGGTGGGGACATGGGAGAAAACAAACTCATACAAGAGATGAAATGGAAAGTGGAGAGAAGCTTGGGGAGGCTGTGAGCTCACAGTGTCTGCCACAGGTACAGAGCCAAAGCACAGTGTGCACACAAAAAGTTGAAGAAAGTGAACTTGGTAAAACGCCCTCCAGGCATTGTGTTGTAGTGTGAGGCAGAGAGTGCGGTGTCGGTGCCGTGAGAGGCCAACAATGGGTCATACCAGATCAATCCCACTCAGCTTAGCCCAAGGGGGTGCTTCAGCATCCCCTGAGAGCCCACTCTACAGTCATCCAAACACTCTTCTACAAGAGCCCTCACCAACTCACCAAACGGCCTTAATGTTATGCATATGTGTATTTTTGTCAGGGGATGGGGGATATTTTTCACCTACTTTGTCAAATATTCAGGTTTTTTCCTCTCCACTTTCAAAGTTAGCTACATTGTTAGAAATAAAGAATTCAGTTCATCATGTTTGGAGAAAGAAGGGTTTCATATATGATCCCAAGGACACCATATCCACAGTGAAGTATGGAGGTAATGATGATCATGATCATATGGGGCTGCTCCTCTGTAAATGGTACTGAGGCATTACACATATTAGAATCTCATCAGCCAAGAAAGAAGAGATGATGGACATTTCAAGATAACATCCCCAAACATACATCGAAAAAACTGAAGGCTGGTTTCTAAAAGGTGCTTGTATGGCCTAGCCAACCTCCTCTACTGAATCCCATTGAAATTATGAACACAGCAGACAGGGATCCTCATAAACTTGAGGAATTGAAGATGGTTTGCCAAAAGAAACAGGCCAAAATTAAACCACAATAGTGCAAAAGGTGGACCTGGCGACCTGTCCAGGGTGTATCCTGCCTTCCGCCCGATGACAGCTGGGATAGGCTCCAGCACCCCACCGCGACCCAGAAGGATAAGCGGTTTAGATGATGGATGGATGGATAGTGCAAAAGGTTAATTACTCATTATTGTAGATGTCTTTAAGCTGTAATTGAAAGCAATGGCTTGCAACTAAAAACTAATGTTATTCAATTGGGATGTCTGCATTTTTCCCCTATCAATTTAATTAAAAAGACTGTTTATGTTTATGAATACATATTTTTGTTCATGCCCTATGATGGACTGGTGACTGGTCCAGGGTGTATCCTGCCTTCCACCCAATGACTGCTGGGATACGCTCCAGCTCCCCCGGCAACCCAGAAGGACAAGCAGCTTAGAAGATGTGTGTGTGTGTACGTATTTTTGTTCATATTTACAAATACAAAGAAAATACATTCTGTGTGTATGCTTAAAAAGGACATATGCACTGAAAATATATTGAATAACAAAAACAAAAGTATTTGAATATTTGTTTCCCTTTCCTGGCAATATATGAAAACATAAAGCTCTCAAATTTCTAGCTAGCCCACCAAGACAAAAAGTTTTGCTACTCCAATTTTATGGCATCACCTCAAAGAACTCTTATTGCTATTTCTGGCACTGTTATTTTCAAAAGTACAGAGGCTGTGGAGCAAATCACATAGTAAGGTGCCCATCTGTTGTAATCTGGACTACAAAAGTAGAATTACAGTGAAGAACTTCATAGTGCCCCTCCCTTTTTTCTGAAACTAACCAATGTTATGCAATTTCCCCCTCATCTGCACACAATGCCTCACTCTATTACAGAAGCAGCAAGGCCTTGAGCATGTATCTTTGGGTGTTTGAGTATGTTTGTATGTGTGTCTCAAACCACCTACCAGGAAAGCACAAATGCTCCTCCTGGGAGACTCCCACTCAAAGCAGCTGTTGATATAGGAGCCCAGGTTAATGAGGAACATGATGCAGCGCTTCACTCGGTTAAAATTCTGCAGCAGCAACTGGTGAGGCAGAGGAGGTGAGGCAGAGAGGATGCCAGGAGGGGAGAAGATAGAGCAAGAGATGAAAAAACTAAAACTGCTATTATAGCATTCAATAAAAGTCAGATGTCCTGAGTAAATTATGGAACAACAGGTTAATATAATAATGAACAGGTTAAATATAATACAGTCAATATCTGAAAAAATAAGAACTTGACAATGTAATCAGAAGAAGTAGTAACATGAATAAAAATAAATGAAATAAATGAATATTAATATAAATATTTGTTTATCAAACATAGTTTGTTTTAACGACACGAGACTCATATTTCAGCTTCCCTGTGTCCTATACGTTATTATATCAACTCAGAACGGATGTTTTGAAATAAGGATAGATTGGGCTGCTCTCTAGTGGTATTTAGCACAACATGTGCCACCTACCTAGGTGAACTTGATTATAAGAGAAATGCATACCAAAACAGACACTGTACAAAAAAAGTTATATTTTGATATAATGTATTTACAGTTATCAAGGTTTGCAGCTTGGGCAGATAAATATAAATACAAAGCTTTTAATTAATATTTACAAGTCATTGTGGTGCATGAGGACAGTGGAATAATTTGGGATAAAGTGGGATAAAGGATGCATAATAATAGCCCAGCAAACCAATAGTAGCCTAGAACACCACATCATTTGAATAATGTCACACTATCTATTTAGTCTGTTTGTGTATTTTAGTTTAGCTTTCTACACTGCCCATATGCTGTATGAAATGTGATGTGTTCCTGTGTAAAATAAAAAGGTTTGTTCCTTGTAAAGTGAATCCAACTGTACTGCAGCAATTCACAGTAGAGAAAATCAGACACTGTTAGACCAACTAGACAATGATAGTAATAAATGCAGTGTTAAGTTATTCTGAATGTATTATATTTTGTGGAATCTACTGGGTTCTGTATACTGTACAGACATAACCAATTATAAATAGGCTGCATTATTCTGAACAAAAAGATGCATTCTGAAGCATTCTAAACAGATAAGAATGTGTTTTGGCATAGGTGGTACACCTCTTTTGTTGTTAGTTTTGTTTATTTGTTTTAGCTGACTGCACAGGTAACTCTGAAACTATTTCCTGTTCGGTGATGTTGTTAATTTTACATAGTTAAGGGGCTACTAATTACAGTAAGGAGAATTTGAAAATGCACTAAACAGCACAGCCCAGTTCATAGGAGGTACAAACATATATAATTTATTTTTAAATAAAAGTACCTAATCTTTAAAAATATGACAGTATGTTCACTTTTTTGAGAATATTCTATAATTTGGGAATAAATCTATCCCATACCTCTATTCATGGTATGAATGTATTATCTTACCTATTCTCTTGCATTAAATTAGAGGTGCTAAATTTAACTTATAGTTGCTTGCAAAACACCCCTGGTCAAATTAGATATTTTGTTGATAAGATAAAATAAGTTATCACATCTTCTACAGAGAACAAACTATAGTAAATGTAGCATTTTTCTGCAAATTTGAGTGTGCAGTTTCTATTTATTTGCTGAGTTTAACATACTAGAAAAAAATAAAACAATATGAATGTACACGATATAAAATGTGCCATAACATTTGTGTTCTGTAGAGAATATGCACTTATTTTCGATTAGAAAATCAACAAAACGTCTTTTGGCCAGAAGCACTCAAAATCTACCACCCTGGAGAGTTCAGATCCAACACACCTGGCTCTAACATTCAGATGCCCCTGAAGGATTTCATTGTCTGTATCAGGTGTGCTAGATTTGGGTTGGGGCTAAATTATGCAGGGCTGTAGATCTTCAGGACCAGGATTGAGCACCCCTGGCCTATTAGGTCTATTTGTATCACAAGGTTCTATGACCTTCTTTGTTACTGATTGGTTTAAGTCTGTGCCATTCTGAATTTAATCTCTGCAAGCAGTAACAAATTATCACAGGATTCTGATGCTTGCCACCACTATCAAAAACATGTTGCTTTGTTCATTGCTGTTGAGAATGCCACAAAATGAAAAACTCAAAAATAACGAGAACTCCAGTTGATACCAAATGGCACAGCTCGGCAGCACAGCGGCTCTGATCAATGCTATGGATAGGTATATCATCTCTGTCATATCAAAACTTTTTACTTAATTTCGAAACGTCAGATGCCCTTTACATTGTGTGAATATTTTTTGGGCCAATAGAAAGTTCACAATTACTTAAATACTAACACAATCTTACTATATTAATGTATATCAAAGGTTTTGTTACAACAACAGCGGTATGTTAGACAAGCTGCATTGTCTATTAAACTCACTCTAAATAGTTTGAGCGGACATTAAATGCTGTGTGCAAAAACCACCAAATTCAATTCCAGTATTGACTGCTGTCTGTGTTTAGGTATATGTGTGTGGAATGTGTGGGGGCATGGGTATTGTGGAGTCTCTCATTGCTGAGATCAGCAGAAAGGCTGTGAAGTTTGTGTGTTCCTCTGAAAGGCCAGCTTTGGGATCGGTCTGATTCAGCCCAGCCCCTCCAATTCAGGCTCTTTTGTTGCCCAGAGACATTGAGTCAGAGGACAATGGGCATGCATTGCAGCGGTGCCACAGGCCGGCCTTCTGGGGTGGCCCTCTCTTCTCATGAGGGCCAGCTTGACATTTCTATTCAACACCCAGAACGGGCGAGGGCAACAGGGGAAAGCACCAGGCTCCTGCACCACAACCCTGTCCCAAACGCTTTGGCCCATTGTGCAATCACCTGGGCCTCACTGATCTGCCTTGGAGGAATTCTCCTAAACATTTAGACTTTGATTTGAGTAATGGTGACAGCCTGCTGGATTAGCTGAACAGGGTTCAAGAAGCCTACCTGTTTGGAGACTTTGGATTCTTCTTCTATATATTTCTGTTCTGGTTTCTCAAAGGTCTGCAGGCTGGCTTTCACCTAGAAGACGTAAAAGAAAGCACAATTAGTTACGTGGAATATTACTGTACTCTCCGCACATCATTAATTATCATTTATTAGTGCATGATACCATGCCGTGGAAACGAAAGAGAAAAGCAGAGGGTGGCAGCACAAAGTGTTAGGAGGCAATGCTCACGCTGTTGTAGATGACGTCTGCTTCAAGGAAGATGACCCCCTTTGTTGGCCCTGTCAGCTCCTTGTTTTTCAAGACGTAGGCCTTCTGTTCGCCATTGTGGATCTGCATGAAGAAGATGTGACAGCCTGCTGTCTGGCAGAGCCCCAGAGGAACCCCCCTCCTCATGACCCCTGCACTCCCTCCCGCGGCAGCATCAAACAGCCAGCCCCCACCTCAACTACCCCTCCCCACCCCATCTCTCCCCCAATTCTGACAAGTACCGGCTCATTACCGGCAACCCTCTGTCACTGAGACATTACCCAACCACCAGGAGGCTCGCTAACTCCCAGCTGTGCTCTGTTTAGAAGTGTGATCAGTGCCAGCCTGCACTATTAACGTTACACGCTGAAAACATAGAACCCTTGAGCCTTGCTGAAACTTACATTTAATAACGGAATGGCCACTTTTCCCAGAAAATCAGCACTCCTATCTCTGTCCTCATCGTAAACGGAGACTTCCAGCACCGAATGGATGTCTTTCACGTTCCTGATCAATAAAAATTCCAAAACATTAAATAATACATTAATCTGATGGGCCTTTCATAATATTTAGTTCACACTTCTAAAAAGATTTTTCTTAATGATATTGATAGAGTTGGGGGATTGAGGTTTCTTTTACTGACAATAAATACAAAAATAATATTAGTAATTACAGAGTTATGGAAGAAGCACTGGCAGTACATCACGGTTAACTATGTTTTTAACCAGAGTTCAGGGTGCTCCCTGATTTGCCAAGGAAACAAGACCAAAAATAGACCAGCAGGCCAACTTTTGATGCATGTTAGCTACTTGAAGAGTAAATATGGCAATATGGATGCATTATACTACTATTTTAAATACCTGTGGAGCTCAGTGAGTCGTTTTGAAAGATGTTTTGGCAGTTACTTACAAAGTAAAAACTTTATTCCACTCTGGATTGAGATTCTTGTACACTGTGTGAGTCTGAAGACGATCATTACACAGTTCTACTACACAAAAAGGATCACTCTTTCCTGTAACAGAGAAAACAATATTGTAGTTTCTAACATTAAGCTGCTCATTAATGGATCACAATTGCAGCCAACACAGAAAAAAAAGGTTATTCATTCATTATTCATCAAAAAAGAAAACAAAACTACATGGTACAGCCAATGCAGATTTTTAGTGCTATGACAAAAAGAAAATTTTTCCTACTGTATTTGTTGATTGATGAACAATTGTGAGTATCTATGACTTATTTGTAAAACAATACAACTTCATAAACTAGGAAATACATAAGAGATACTCATCTCTCTTTGTAACTTCAATTGTGAATGTCAAAGACAATTCAAAAGCGCTTAACTGAAGCAAATGGTCTATTAAGCATCTTTCTGGTGAAGGCTCTGGTTAGTCTATCAGCCAGTGTGTGTAAGGGTGCACGTATGTGTCGTTCTAAAAGGCTTTCAAAGGCCATCTTTCATTGAGTGACAGTGAGGGGGAGCATGAAATCAGAGCCCACAACATGGGCTGCTTCAGCGAAGACCTTCCAGCAGTCACAAGGTAACTACGACAGTGGTGGAAGGAAGTACAAAACAGAAAGTACAGAGAGGAATGAGGAGACTCTCCTCACTCCATCACTCCACACAAATAAAGAAATACACTGAAAAAACATTATAATTTATTCTAGTCATATACAATTTATTCTTTTCATTCTTTTAAAAAGCTAGAACTTTTCAGTTTCAACAATTATTGTGGCCCTTAAAGAACCATTCCATTTTAGAAGTTGTAATGCCGATTATGACTATAGCTATGAAAAATCGCTCCATCAAGATTTTTATATATTTCAGTCAGATTGTTAGGAATTTATGCACAAAGACCGCCTTTTACCTGTAACATCGGCAGCCATCAGACCCTCAGCTCGTAATATCTTCACCTGTACAATCCCAATATCACTCAGATTACAGAAAGACCTCAGCAAGCTCTAAGAGAGGGAGAAAGAAGAGAACATAAGGGTTAGACATTTCCACCAAGCACAATATGTGAAATGAAATTTAGCTTTGAGTGGTCAAAATGCACCAGTAAAACAGTAATGTCTAACTAATGTGTAATGTGAAACTAATTTCAGTGTTTAATTCAGCATTTGCAAAAAATAAGAAGGAATAGGAATAAGAAGGAAGAAGGAAGAAATCAAACTGTAAAAACACAGGGTGATTCAAAAAGATTCATCTGATTTCAAAGCGCCATATTTTTACCACCGTGAGGCGCCTAGGAACCTATCACATACCAATTAAAGAAGGGTGTCACAGAGGTTCTGACTTTCACCGGAAGATGGCTCCCTTCAGTCTGCGAGGAGATGACGACCCCTGAGCAGAAAGTGTTTTGCGTTCTTCACTTTATAAGAGTGAATCCGTCATAACATAATATCGTGTTGATGTCTGTACAGCATGAATGTGTGTGTGATTGTGTGTGTATGTCTGTCTGTCTGTCTGCCCTGTGATGGACTGGCGACCTGTCCAGGGTGTATCCTGCCTTCTGCCCAGTGACGGCTGGGATAGGCTCCAGCACCACACCGCAAGCCAGAAGGATAAGCAGTTTAGATGATGTGTGTGTGTCTGTACAGCTGGAGGAGGTCATATTGAGCACTTGTAAAATTACATAATAAACATTATGCTGATTCAAACAATTTACAATGTACTGCATTGTTCTGTAATCATATACAAGTGAAATAAATTATTTCGAAATCGGATTAATCTTTTTGAATCATTCTGCACAATAAACTTATAAAATTCCAAGGTAACTGGAAAATCCTAAGGTTTATTATTCGGTGAATATGTGGAAAACAATGGAAACCAATTGAGTTAACCCTAACTTATAGAAATGTGCAATCAAATTAGGAATTACTGACAGGTCTTGGTTGTTTGAGGGGTAAAAAAATAAGTTATGCATAATGGACTGACATCCAAACAGCCATTTCTTACTATGCAGTTTATGCAGTTACTATTTTTACTGTTTTTTGTTGTTTACGGGCTTTCTACAACACTAGACTAAACTCAGAAAAGCACATGAAGACATAATTTTTCATGATAAATAACAGAAACATGTTATTCTATTGTCAACCCTTAGTAGAAAATAAGACCAAGACTGACATTCTATCCTTGAAGCTACACATCTCCCAAGGGCCAGAACTTTGCTCAAAACTTTAGGCTGCTCTTACAGACAGATGCCAACCAGGAGCTAACTTTCTGTGAGAAGCTGTGAGAAGACAAAGTGTATGCTTTGGGTATGCAGAAGGAAAACTGTGCTGCCACTTCACATTATCTGTGAGCGCTCAGCAATACATCTTCATTCAGCTCCCTTTTTTATTTTTTCGAAAGCGGGTCAGTGTGCATTGGTAGCAAGAGTTCTGTAAAGCATACATTGACTCACTCTCCAGGGAGACAAATGGAACAATAGCAAATGGTGAATAGAGTGCAGGCAAGGCTTATCTAGGCCTGGGATATCTTTCTTTTTGTTCAGCCCAATGCCAGCCCCCACCATAATCCTTTTTCCAATAGTGACCATGATGAGCCACATTCATAGTTCAGTAATTTAGCTCCCTCATCTGGCCATCTGCATGTACTGCGGGTTAGATCTTGCTAAACCACTGTTTCCCGAACCTGGTCATGGAGGCCCACTGGTCTACACATTTTAGTATTTTCCCTGCTCCGAACAGACCTGATCCAACTAATCGACTCAAGATCAGCCCACGTACTAGGTTGAAGAAGGTGTGTTAAAGCATGAAAAGTACTAAATTATGCAGGGCAAGGGGCTTCAAGATCAAGTTGGGGAACACTGCTGTAAACCAATCTGGCAGATCTTGTTGTCTCGTTTTGGATGTATCTCCAACCATATTTTTATCGCACCTGAGCCTAATTAGGGAACTAAATTGTGCAGGACTTCAGAAGCAGTAGTTCTTTTCAAATACGTTGCCATACATTTTAAGAGGACTTGTACAGTCATATAAAATAAATTCTGAAGTTATAAGGTATGTTAATGGTTAATCGGAAGATATTTGTTTTTAAAAAATTATCAGAATTGGACAGATGTTTAGGTTGAGCCAATATTTCAAACTGATGCCATGATATTTCTTTATTTCTTAGTTTATTTATTTAAGAGTGCAGGGTTTAGGACTACTGCATTTGTGAACTTATGGAAATAAGTGTTATATTTCTCTGTAATGATAATCCAGGTAGAGGTAGTCCCAATTTCTACAAAGTAAAAAAGTTAAAAAGTGAATATAGGTAGCCAGATAAAGCATATTTTTTTAAGAACTACTTTCATAAAGTGTGTGTAATCTAGGAAGAGGGTTGACATTGGTATCAACTGTAAATTGAAGCTAGCTATCCAGATAACTGTAGCTAATGATGCTTGCAAGCTAGCTATTTAACTCCAGTAGATAGGATTGTAGATACATCATTAGAATTTAACCACTTTCATAGATACAGTTTTTGTCAGATAAAGCAAGGAGTAAACTAATTGTTCCAATATACTTTACCTTGTAACCTTTAGAGCTTCAATTATACCTACAGTAAAATCTTCTGTTGTTCACCTAGTCTTGTTGGTGTGAACAGACTTCAGGTGATGCTTCTCCTTACTTTTAGGAGCAGTAGGGTGGAAAGTTTAAGAGACCTCCTGCACTTACATATTTGTTAAGGATCTGCTGGCACTCGTGTGGGTCATCAAGCAGGTTGACGGACAAGTCGGAGATAGAGACAGCAGCGGAGGCCGTGAGAGTGACCAGCAGCACCAGCTGGCCTTGTCCATCCTCAAGATCCAGCTCCAGCTTATGGGTCCGCTCCCTACTCAAAGTAGACAAGTCCAAGGCACACCTATAGTGCACATTCACACACATATGTCACAAAAATGCACATAAACCACACATGTAAACATAGTTTATAACATACGTCTACTTTTGTACCTCCACTCTTTGGAAATTTTACCAGGTACATACATACAAATGAATGTATACCAAAGCTTGAACACCCCTGATAAATTTATGTTTTGGTGATTTTTGAAGTGATAAGTTAATACACTTGTAGAAGAAACAAATTAAAATATGCCATTTTCCAGCAATTTTTATTGCACTATTATTTCCAATTATTTCCTCAGTTTAACATTTTGTAAAAAATAAAGCATGAAATACAAAAATATGCCACAACTTTTGCACAGGCCACATTCTATGTTTTTTTCCCCTCAATATTTTAAATTTTGCTAAATAAATAAATAAATAAAATGTGCATTAAAGTTTGTAGAACTATGTGTACTTATTTTCCCTTAGAAAAACAGCAAAATGCATCATGACATACTCATATTGCCGCCAAAAGCAGTAAAAGTCATGACAATGGTTAGTCAGGATGAAACTCAAATTTCACTTCATCAGATTTGTGCTCACCGGCCCATGAAGTCATCCCTCCTGCCTGGGTCCTTGTCCCACACTGAGATCTCAAGGACTCCCGCGTCCTCATCAAACACATGCAGATCAAAGTGCTCCCTCCACTGAGGGTTCAGGGTCTTAGGCATGGTCTGCGCATATGTGAGAAATGAAACATGACAGAAATATGGCACTACTGTACTATAAATTACAGCTGATGTGTATACTGCATATCATAATGTTTAATTTGTTCCATTACATGTCTCTGAAGTTGTTCTTCTGCTGAATGACATTCTAAAGTGATAGCTTTAAGAAAAAAAAGTTGCTTAGTGTCATTAAAGAGTAAGTACATCCCACTTTTCTCAGCTAACTCCCCTGGCTCAACTTTGAAAAATGCTCAAAAATGGGAGGGGCACACTGGGAGGGGCACTGCAGTGATGTACGGGTTTGGAGGTGGGGCTACGAGGGAAACCGGGTGGACTGGGCTGCTGTGTTTTTGGAGCTAGAGTACGTTAGTTAGAGAAAATATGGAGAGTGACAGAATCAAACGGCACTTTTGCAACTGAGAGGTCTTACGAGGCCGACGATTTTTCTCTAGTACCATCCCTATCTTCGACGAGGGAAGGTGTTTATGGAGACTTGCAAGAATCCTCACTTAATTGGTCCAGCATCTTTATTAGAAAATAAGCTTAGATTAATTGAGTTATTTACAGTTGGTACAGACAGCTGGCATATCGCAGCCTTGTGAGGTGGTGCTGGGGGTATTTATCTCAGCACGTGAGTGTGGTTATCTCCTCGCTCTAGACTCCTATGCTTTTATATCTATGAGCGCAGCACGAGTAGGGCGTCATCAGGGGGCGGTAATGTTGTTTGACTGATTTGCTTACTGTGTCGTGTCATGGTACTTTGGTACCAAGACACGTCATCCGTGCCTATAGCAGAGTTGAACCAGAGGGGTGCTGCAGAGGCGGAACTGACCACAATAAAAATTATATTTTTACAGTTTGGAAAGATGTGTTCACATTTTAAGTAAGGCTGGTATATTTTATTATTACAGAGCAGTGCATTTCAGCTATTAATTTGAAAAAAAGGGTGTAGTTACTCTTTAATGTAGTACTGAAGATCTCAAATAAATAAAACATACATGGGAAGCAACCATGTTTCATGTGTAAAATTTGCAGAAACAGAACTGCCATAGATCTGATATTCTAAACTAACAGATTTAATAAGGATCAAAATACAGTACTGTGCAAAAGTCAGAGACCACCCATCATATATTTAATTTCAAAATGCCCGTTGAATACAAATTATTTATTTATCAAAGTTAGGAAAAAAGCAGAAAACATTTAACTGAAAATTACTCAACAACTAAATATAATATCACATTTCTTAGTATTTATTGTGCCTTAATTACAGCTTCCATTCTTTTCAGGAGACTTGCTTTCAGGCTTTCAATGATGTCTGCAGGGATGATTTTCACACTTCCAAAGTTCAGTCTTAGAAGTTGGTTGCATTTTCTGATTCTCACGATCCAGGTAATTCCAGACACGTTCCATGATGTTAAGGTCTGAGCTCTGAGTGGCCAGTCCCTTGATCTGAGAACACCAGCAGCTTCTTTGTTTGACTGTCTTCTCACAGTGGAAGGATGGACAGAAACACCTGGGGAGTTTTTTTTAGATCTCCAAGCAAGAGTGAAGCTTAATAGAATAAATGAAGGGTGGTCTCTAACGTATGCACAGTACTGGACACGGGAAACAACCATACCTTGCTTTTGTACTTTTCATTGCCAAGTTTGAATTTGACATAGGGGTCACTAAGGCCGTTCTGGTCCATAGGGATGAGGTCACAACCCTCTATGAGACTGATGCTCACCATGCTCCTCCACAGCTGAGACTTCTTGTGCACTTCAGACAGTCGCTGAATCTGCTGCTGTTGCTGTTTTCAACACAGTGCATTGGAGAGGCATTCATACACATACACAAAGCAAGAAGACACATACACACAAACAAACGATTGTACATGCATAAATGCACACACACAAAAAAAAACATTTCTAATAGAAAACTACTAATATGGGATTTTCTGAAACATACCAGTAATAAACACTCACACCAACATTACTGATATCAATATTACCAACTGACATAATGATGTACTGATATACTGATAGCTAAAACTGGACATGCAGAAGTAGGACTGCTATTTTGCCAATATGTTTAACTGACTTTTCAGTAGAGCAGTAGGGGTGCAGTAGGATTTTGAAATTTTGTACTATTCAATATTCAATGCAAACTACTCAAATGTCTTGCTTGATCTCTTTTTGAGAATTCCTCTTCAGTTATCAGTGCTAATGTGATATATATCAGTCGGCTTATACACTCAGAAAAAAAGGGTACTAAACTGTCACTAGGGTGGTACCCTCAAGGGTATACCTTCAATGCCTTTAGTTAGGCAACATAACTTTGCAGCTCAATTTTAAAATATTAGGTCATGAAAAGGTACAAATATGTACCTTTTCCCTTGGAAAAAATATTTCAGGCACACTTTTGAACTTTTGAACACAGGCACACTTTTGAACCAACAACTGCTGTACCTTTATAGGCACATTTACATTGTTTGTACCTTGATGAATAAAAATTGTACCTGCACAGTACCTTTTTTCTGACATGTAGTCCACTCACTTATATGACACAGATGCATAGCTACATTTCCTAAAGAACTGGTGACAAAAGCCCTGTTTATACCCTATAATGCTGTAGAAGGCTCCTTTAACATCATTTCCAGGCCAACAAATAGGGCTAAGTTCAGAACAGTAAATAGACAAATAATTTTCTTAGGCAAATAAGCCTAATGATTAGGAAGGCAAGTGCAGCTTATCAGTACATGCCTCATTCTTTGAAAAATCTCTGGATTCACAGTGCAACAAAAGTGCAAGTCAGTTCACTGGAAACATCATCTTCAGCATGTACACCAGTAGATTGTTTGGATTAGACCCTGGACAAAATGAAGGGACTTTTTTTAGGGGCTATGTTGAACTTATCTCCAGAACTCAGTCCAACAATAAATACTTAGTCAGTGAATGAATTAGACATGTAAACTGTGCCTTCTAGATCAAACAGAATGAGTATAGACATAATGTAAATGTACAGGACAAGCATGCCTTACTACATGGAACCTTCTCTGTTTACCTTACTGGTTCATTTCCAGCTCCTTGTCAGTAGAATGGTCTAGAAATAACACACATGATTCAGTGAGCCCTCACCATTGCGGCAGAAATGCAAGGGGCAAAGGACCGCTAGAGCTATCTTTGTGAAGGTGAAAGATTCTTTTCACCAGTTCTGAGGAAAGACAGCTTTTATTAATGGATGGGCATGAGTACATCGACTAACATAAAATTTCTTAAGTAACCATCTATTCGACTGGTAAAATGCTACTCAAAATTTTGCAAACTGATTTTGCGAAACAATATTTTTCTCAGCTGAATCTCAGAATAGTAGGTTTAGACACTCAGCATGGCAGAGAACTACTTTTCATTTTAATACAAACTAGCATGAAGGTCAGTATCCCATTATTGATTATTGATACTTGTAAATGCTATTGATACTTTTAAACTTTCCAAAGAAAGTCTCTATGAGCCTAGTCAATGACTTATTATTTATAAAATTGATGATAATAATAATGTGTGCTCCAAAAAATAACATATTAGACATTTCATTATACACCTGGATAAGGCCTGTGATTAACTAATTAACGAATTAACTTTATTGTTTTTTATACATATGCTTATTCTACATTTGATGCCTGCAACATGTTCCAAAAAATTTGGGACAGAGGCATGTTTGCCAAAGTGTTATATCACTTTTCTTTTAACAACATTCAGTAGTCATTTGGTAACTGAGGACACCAATTGTAGTTGTGAAAGTGGACTTTTTCTCCAATTTATACTTCGCTGCCCTCCGCTGTTTGTCCCGAAACAAGCAGAGACGTCACTGAAAAAGATGTCTAGATGGCAACATGTTCCTCCAAAATGCAAATGATGCTGGCTTTTAAACTTTTTGTTGGCAACAATTGGGAGGCTCCTTTTCTTCTTCGGCTTCTAATATTTCCAAGAACAATTTGAAAGCTGGGCTTATCAAACGACAGCACACTTTTCCACTTTGTGTTAGTCCATCTCAGAAGAGCTGCAGCCAAGGGAAGTCACCAGTGAATCTGGATGTTGTTGATATATGGCTTCTGCTTTACATCGTAGAGTCTTAACTTGCATTTGCACATGCAGCAACAAACTGTGTTTACTGACAAGGGTATTTTGAAGTATTTCCACTTACGTTTATCACATAAGTTTTTCAAAGTATTTTTTGAAGTATTCCTTTCACAGTATTACTGTGTCAGGGTTTACTGACGAGGGTTTTTCGAACTATTCCCGAAGTATACTTCCTTCAGGAAGTATTCCCAAGTGTTGCAGAAGTATTCTGCAATTTTAGCATTTAATGTGGTTACACTCATTACAGAAGCATGTTGGTTTTTAATGCAGTTGAATCTGAGGGATGTCATGAGCATTCAATATTGGTTTTTGGCCTTGACCTTCAAGAGATTTCTCCAGATTCTCTGAAGTTTTAATAATGTAATGTAGATGGTGAAACCAGCTAAATTCATTGCTTCATTCGCCAATTGTTCTTAAGAAGAAATTTCTTCTTAAAACCCACTTGGGCAGTTTTCACAAAGATTCTGAAATTCACCAATGTTTTCTAATTATGGATTTGTTCTTAGGTAAGAACAGAATCTACTCACACTCGAGAGCACAAAGGTGCGAACAATTCTGCAGTTTAAGAACATGTCATGAATCTGACGTACACTTTTTCTTAGGACCTTTCTCAAGGACAAATTTAAGAAAAAAAATTTGTTCAGCCCATTGTTCTTAAATTGTTGGACTATATGCTTACACTGTTTTCTGTACTACCTTTGTGCCGACTTGAACCTTTCATGAATGTTCCTTTTACACTCAATCATACAGCATCACCTGTTACATATTCACTTGTTTACCTGTGGAAAGTTCCAAAACAGGTGTTTTTCATCATTCCAGGAACTTCTCAGTCCTGTCTTGCCCCTGTCCAAACTTTTTTGTAATGAGTTTCAGGTGTCAAATTTGTAATTAGCATACTGAAAAGGTAAAACATTAAATATTTAACATCTTACTGTGCAATTTTCATTTAAATATCTGTTAAAAACAGTTTACTTATTACTGCTTTCTGTTTTTTTTTTCCCTTTAGCTACTATCCCAATGTTTTTGGAATTAGGTTTGGAGGCAAAGATCAATTATGAAAAGGAAACACTTCTTTGGAAGTATTGATATTTCACAACTGGTAACTGAAGTTTTATGTAAGCTACTCAATCTAAAAACTACGCAAAATATTTATTACTACAATCATGTCCATATTAATGCTAATCTTGAGTGTTTGCTGCTTGGTTATTTGGTGTAACACACTGAGTCTTCCAGTGAGGGGAAGCTTCAGCAGGTTGCTCTTGTGTAATTCAGAGATACTCTGTGCATTGCAAGGGTTACATGAGTGCACCATCCCAGTTCTCTTCCTCTGAACAGGGCTAGGACAGTGGATGGGTTCCTGCTGCTGAGAACAACACAAACTGAAGCACTGAGGAGTCAGGAAAGGGTGTAACATTAAACAAAGGTGTAATTGCAAAATTGTTGTGACAACACATTTGAGGTGGGGGTGCTGCAGTAATAGCTTTTCTCACAGCTTCATCCATGTCAAATTTAATCACTCTTGGTATAATCCCTACACATTCCTTGTGAGATCAGGTTGATGAGGAAGCTAAAGCTACATTATTGCTCTCTACAACAACACTCACTTTAGCCAAATAAGGCTTCCAGCGGTGAGCTTTAAGCCCCTTTTCACTCTGTGGAAGAATACAACCAGACTTAATGGAATACCAACAATCTGTCTGATTCCCATAGGCCTTGAAAAGTGAATTTGGTAGATCAATAAACTAGCTGAGTCATTCTTAGCTTATAGAAGTGTGTAGTTAAATATTGGGCCTGCCAGCCAGCCCTGGCCATTTAAGAAGTTAAGTGGTCGGATGAACTGAAGCTTTCACATGATCCAAAAAACATAAATCAATTTGGTCAGAATGAAGGCCAGTATAGCCCTAGAGTATGGCAAACATCGTAGCTTATATGAGACTTGTGAATATTGTATTAAATAAATAATGATCACAGAAAACAGTGCTCTGTATTTGTATGAGCAAAGCAGTAATTACAGGGTGAGGCAGGAAGTTTGCTCTTACCACTTCTCTATCCCATCCATCTTTGGGGCTCAGCATAACTGCTAGTTCTAGAGAGCCGAGGTCTTGCATAGGGCATTGGGAATCCTGGAGATCCAATCTGACATCAAGAAGTCTGGCAGAAAAGAGACGCACTTTAGCATGGATTAAGGATGGTGATCACTGTCAAACAAAACAACAATATTTGATTATAGCATTTAAGGAATACTCCAGCGTTTATCAACCTATCTGCTGCATCTGTAGCATCCAGGAAATTGTCATGGACAATGAATCTCAGTATTTAGAATTCAGTATCTGCCAACTGGCTTCCATTCTAAGTTTTTTGAGAGTAGCTTTTCTGTTCTTGTACTAAGTGCAGGGAAACATGTCAAAATGATTGTCCAAGGTAATCAATCATATGCTACAGGCAGAGATTAGGGTTAAAACACCAGCATATCCCTGTAATATATCGAATACCCACAGAGCAAGTTTTAGATCATTGAAAATTTGATTTGATTTTTAACGCTAAGAAATATTGTAAAGCCTAACTTCACAGTCCTTATACTACAATCAATGGACCTACCTTCGGAGCTCCAGTGAGTCAAGGTACAAGTATGCCAACCCCATAAAGTCATCATGACAGCCAAAGTCGTAGTCAAAAACCTGCATGGAAATTTAAAGAAACATCATCAAGCGTAAGTAAACTTAAGAAAACATTGATTAATAAAATAATCACTTCAGAAAAAAAATATTGTAGACCTGTATCACTCTTAGTCAGATGTTCTTAGATCATGACTTAGGGACCTTCAGTCTGTGTTCTGCTCCAGTTTCTAACATATTTGAGCTACAGCCCTTGATGATCTGGTTCAGGTGTGTTAGGGGCATGGAGTTAGGTTGGCAAAACAATGGTAGTGTGGTATCCCATGGTCTTTGAAAAATGCAGCGGTACTTCAAAACTGCTTTGGGTCAATATCTATATCACATATAAATTGCAAAGCAAAAAAATACCAGTTCCAGTTTCATGTATTTTGACCATGGTAACTATGTAGTATAATAAACTATGATAAATGTCAGTCGGTAAAATGGGGTAGTAATTAAGTAACTTTGTAAACCATGCCAGAAAATCATACGGTAGCCTACCATGGTGAGTGAAGCTATGCTACACTATGGAGCACTCAATAAAGAAAATGGTCTGTATGCATGGGAACAAATTACAATAGTCCTCTAAAAGATTTATATTTCTTGCTTTCCTTAAGGCAAGATGTGCCCATTTTTACCTTTTCAGAAATAAAGTTGCTAAGTAAAAAGGGTGTCAAAAGTCACTTAGTCTAGTGTCTAGCATAAAAGATTCAGTGGTTATGTGAATCCATAATTCATATTCATATTAAATATTCTGGCAATAAAAAGAGACCAGTGGCTATAGCCCAATAGCCTGACCCTAAACACACCCCTGGGCTAGCTCCAGTTCTGGAGAGACAGAGACAGCAGCTATCAACATATACCATATGTCATGTATGGATGGCTGAAGAAGTGATGCAGTTTTAAAAAAATGATGCATTATTTGTAGATCGCATGGTAACCTACATTCAAGTAAACAAGTCAGATCTATCACCTAGTAGCACCACTCAAGTCAGATCTATCACCTAGTAGCATCACTCTCCAAGTCCAATAAACCCACGCCTGCTTTTTCATCCCTGGGTTACCTTGTGGTGTTGCTGTGGACTCATTGATACTTGCTAGCTTCTGGTCATGTTTTGCACAGCAGTATTCTCTAAAATTAGGCAAGCAAGTGGTAGAAACGGTTAGTGGATAGCAGCACCCAGCCCCCTCTGTAGGCCAAAACAAGCACAATGCGACACGTCTGCTCTGCTACCAGGTCTTTTCTATGACTTTCCGGCATGCTTTAAATTCACAGTTAAAAACACGGACATCTCCAGCTCGGAACAGGCATCCAAAATCAAGGGGGCAGTGGTGTCATGCAGGCCAAAATTCCAGGGGGAATTTCATTTTCACACGTTTGAAAAAGGGATAGATGCTCTACTAACCTCTTCAGCAACACACCCTTTGTCAACCCTGTAGCAATAATGCACACTTGTACCTGCTACTGCAAACTGAGTTCATCCTGCAACTTTTGGAAGAAACCAATACCTTAGGGAAAGAGGTGTGTGTGAATTTCTGAGGTTTGATCTATGACAGAATTAGAAGCTTGAATGGGCATGACACCCCTGCAAGGGGCGATTTATGAAGCTTAATGTGACACTGCTTGACCATTACCTTAATATAAAGAGGCTCGCGTAGATTGTCTATGGGCAGGCAAAATCTCTCATCCCACACTGGATTAAGGTTCTTGTAGATGACCTTGCTGCGAAAAACTTCTTTCTTGCCTAATTTGAATTTCACATATGGGTCACTTGTTCCTAAAGATCAAGAAATGTTACATGATTTCAAGTCATTCACAATTAGATTTCAATATGTACTCAGTTTGATAACATGGTCTTACCTCCTCTGTCCCTTATTGCTAGATTATGACCTCTCTTCAGTAATATATCCAACTTGTACATTCCTGGACTGGGCAGCACAGGCTGTGTTTTATCATGTCCACCTGCATTAATGTCCTGCATGGGGAGCAGCATTGCACACAAAAAGTACAGAGAAATTATACTTGAGGCAAACCATGATAAAAATGAATTGTCTGTGAGATTTATCTGTTTCCATATAAGCCCTTAACAAAAGCAGTTCACTGTTTTTGTGCATTTAGCATATTACCGACATTTAGCTGTGTTTAGCCTAATTTAGCCATGCGAAGAAACCAGATAACCAGCAACTCAGCTAGCCAATCAGGACATTTGTTTTCTATGTTAGAGCTATGTTTATGAGCACCACACACATAATACATAATCACATTTCTGCAATTATTTTATTTCCTACAAATCAAATAATTGCAAAATCACTGTTGGAATAGCTTGTGTAAACTGAGTTTAGTAGCTTTTACAAAGCTTACAAAATAATGACAGGTTGACACGTCTGATTTTCTAGTAATGACAGTGACTACAGCTTTCATCTTTGTCTGCCCTGTAAGGACAGTTAGGTGGAGAAAGCATTTCAGAACAGCTGATTTCATATCCTGCCCCAGGATAAAGCTGTGCATCTACTTAGCAACACTTGAGCACACATGTTGAGAGAATGGGCAGCAACAACAAGTCACTTAAAGCATGGCCTTACACAAAGGCTGCTCTATATATGTGAACGAAACTCTGGCTAATTTTAAATGGTTTACATGCAATCCTCTCAGCATGGCAGGTTTAGAATAGGTAGCATTTCAGGAGATTGAGGAAGCAGCTAGCAGGTCAGGTGACAGATGACTCATTCAGACCACAAACAATTATGGCTACACTGATGTAGCCCATCCATCATCTGTAACTGAAACGATGACCATTATAATGAGGTTGCAACCAGAGCAGATATTTGTCTTGCCTGCTTTCTAAGCAGTATTGTCTATTTTGCTTGAGAAAGCATGTATTCTCTGAGTGATTCCACGATTAAGGTGGCACTTAGATAACAGGGTTTTTAGCATAAAATTAGCAAATGTACAACATGGTTAACAAACATCAGTGCTAATCTGATCTAGACATTAAGGACATTTTAATTATTTACCCAATTTTTTTTTTTAATTAAAAAATAAAAATAATTTACTTAAAAAAAAAAATAATTTACTTACAGCCTACAATTTTTGGAATATTCCAGACATTTTATACCTTCATGGGTGAAGGTTTCAGGTGACTGTGTTGAGTGAATGTTGAGGGACACAACAAAAATGAACATTTTTCAAAGCCTATCATGAATGACTCATGAAATAGGATGTTTCTAGCATGAGATGTAAAATGTATTCACACCATAATGAAAAAATACTAATATTTTCATGATTATATTTCAAGGTAAAGTGTAGTTGCAAAATAATGTTCTCCAAGTGCTTTAGATATGTTTTATTAATATTAAAAATATATATATATATATATTATATTAAAATGATTTCTTTGAAACATTCACATAGGTTGTTGTGAAGGACACTTTATCTGTGTTTGAAATGATTTTTTACCTTTACATAGATATTTGTAAATGTAATTTCAGTGGGTCACAAATGGCAACTAATCATGGAATCACTCATCCAACAATTCCTTCTAAAACCTGTTACAGCAGGGGTGAGTCCAATCTTATTCGCGAAGGGTCATTGAGGCCGCAGGTTCTTCATTCCAAGCAAGCTGGAGCACACCTGGTTCTACTCAGTTAAAGAGTTGGTCTCAGTGTTGGTCTCACAACTGATTAGGTGAGCTCCTGCTTTTTATAAATGAAAACCTGCAGCCACACCATCTCTTTGTGGATAAGATTAGACACTCCTGTGTTACAGGGTTTAATGTAAAGCAGCATATAGGGCTGTCACCTACGATTATTATTATTATTATTATCAATTGAGCTATCTACAGATTATTTTAACAATTATTCAAATAACTATTTTTTTTTTAAAAAGCAAAATAATAAAAATTGTGAAAAAAAATCTTTCAAATATTCAAAAAATTGTTTATTAGACAAAGATGAAGTGGAAAATCTTCAAAAAGATCTAATTTAAAAATACAAAAACACAATGCTGCAAAAAAATATCAGGCTCTAATTTATGATGTAGAAGAATTATAAAATGCCTCATCATGCAATTTCCCAACTAAACTTTGCATCATGAATTATCCAAAATTACTTGAAATAATTGCTTGTTGATTCACAGAGAAGTTAAATTTTAATGAATGTTTTTTTTTTAGTACAGTGTTTGAGTTTTATCGAGTTGTGTGATCGCCCTAGCTGTACATTAAACAGGGGCATATATGAAAAGCACTCCATCTTCTCTCCTGCTTAGTATTGTGAATTGATTCAGTGATAGGTGCTTGTCTTCAGTTATACAAAGATGAGCATCAGCTAAACATTTTCAGTCATTACAGTCACACTCACAGTTATTATCTAACTTCTGGCCTCTTACAATTAATGGATGGTAAGACAGACAGCTGATGTGAATGTATGCTGAGAAAATATGTTATGAGTGAAATATGTTATATTCATAACATAGCAACATAACATAATAAACTCATAAATTCTCGATGACAAATTGTTTTTAAGCATGATGAACTTACACATGTCATATATCATTAAAAGGCTCAACAAGTCAGTAGGTAGTTACTTCAGCACTTGCCCATAGATGTACACACACAATTCCAAAAAGGTTAAACCAGTAGGTAAAATGCAAATGAAAACAGAAAGCAGTGATTTGTACTTTGTAAATTTACTTTGACCTGTACGTAAATTCAAACAGTATAAAGATAAGGTATTTAATGTTTTATCTTACCAACTTGATGCCTGCAACACATTCCATAATATGACCATATAATATGACCACGAAGGCCTCAGACAGTTGCACAGCTAAAGACTTCAATAACTGAAGAATGGCAAAAAAAATTATTTTTTTTTTGCAAGGAGGCTTTCTGCTCCTTTTGTATAGTCACAGCTAAAACTTGCTTAGATCATCAAGAGTGCGCTTAGATTGGCAGGATATCACCCTCTAACACTTGTGTGGTAAGGGCATGAGATCACCGACAAAATGGGTAGCACAAGCAATAACATAAGCAGTTTAAAATGACTTTAAGAACTCATTTTCAAAATAACACTACCAAAAGAATTAGCTTCTCTGGCAAAACAAAAAGTTTTTGGCAACACATTTCATTGCCAATTTGTTTTATGGGATACGAGATATAGCGAAAGGTACTCAGTAATGTCAAACAGGTCCCAAATGGTCAGTTTTGGAATTTTGTCTGACAACCAGTGGCGTAACAAACATCTTAAGGACCCCAAAGCCAAATAAATAAATAAATGACAGAAATTAAACATTACAGTACTGTGTGAAAGTCACCCTTCTTTTATTTAATATCCAGCCAAAACATCTATTTAACTACAAATTATTCATTTTCAGTAGACATTTCTGAGGAGCCGTAAGATATGAGATAATCCTTGTATAAGGAAGGGTTAAGTCAAAGGAAAATAGGTGGAAAACAAAAGTTTCCAAAACTGCAGCTCAAAAAAACAAGAACAAAAAAAATATATATACCCGCAAGCAGCAATGAGCGGGTCCAAGCATACATAAGCACAAGAAGCTCTCATGCACCTTGAGCCAAATAGGCCTAATGCAGTTTGGGCCTTCTAGGCAGAGAGGCTGAAAAGATTTCTGAGTTCATCAACAGACCTTCATTTGTCATGAACAATGAGCAGGGGGCTTTAAATCTAATATATATTTACATTTCAATTTACTGATCTACAAAGGTTTGTAGAACATGCAAAAGATTATCAACACACGTCAAAAATACATGAGTAATGGTAAAATATCTGACTTAGTTGTGTTAGAGTGTTTTGTATATTGAAGTTAAAGGCTTTGATAATCATGACATAATGAGACCCAATGCACTCATAAAGAGCCCTTTTGACATAGAGGAGCTAAATGATAGTGGGTCAGAATTGGTCCAAAGGTCTCCACATGTTATGAAAATTGATCAGGCACCGTCATCAAAAATGTTCACCGAGTTTTGTTCAGATTAACCTTTTGACCTTGCTATAATAAGCTGCAGTCTTTAAATGAATAATTCAAAATACCAGAGAAGGAGTCCAATTTATGACATAACATGTAAAAGTTAAGAAGTTATTCAGATGAGTGAACTGAATCAAAAGACACCTCTTGTTTATCTGTAGACTTTGTAGTATCATTGTAATAACATTTTTAAAGATTTTAGTTTTTTTTTTTTGAGTGCTACATCGCCCCCTATGGGCCGATCTCAATCAAATTTTGCAAACCACATCAGAGTCTCAATATATAGAAAACTTTTTGAGATGATCAGACCAAGGACTGATGAGTTATAGCAATTTAAGCTAGCAATGCCATAGCTGCAATGATACAGTGCTGGAGGAGACCACAATGAGCAAAAAATTGAAAATGTGCTGAATAATTATTTACCTAGAGGGGCTACAGAGTATTTCTAGACATGTTTTGAGTAGTTAGCTTCAAATTCCACGGACTAGTTCGAAAAGTGCTATTTTCAAACAGTTAATGATTGAAAAAAAACTATGTACTTTTTAATAGACTTATAATGACAAAATGGTTTGGAACACTGCACTGCATGAGGTCATCTAAGTTGTTTGACCAAAAATGAAAATCTGATGTTAGAAAGTGGTGAGATAGAGACAGTTGTCAAGTATTATGATGATTGGCCAATGATAAGCCTGTCAAATATCTGCTGAAAGCTTATTGGCCGATGGCAGCCATAAATTTCCATACATCAGAGTGTCCTTAAAGATTCACTTATAGTCTTTGCTGTAGATACTACTTGAAAAGTTTCAACTTGATCGGATATACGGATGCTGAGAAACAGCTATGTAGCATTTACAGCACCCCCTAATGACCTATGCACACAAAAATTGATAATCTTCCTCTACTTACGAATAAACCTTTCAAGTTTCAAATTTTTTGGGTGAAGGATTTTTGAGTTACAGATTTTTCAATTAAATAAGATTTTTTTTAATTATCCA